GTTTTATAAAGGGCCCGGGCATACTTGGCGGTGATTCCAACTGATGCACACTGCCGAAAACGGCGCGGGTTCGAGTCCGACGGATCCGCCGCTGCCGGCCGCACCGCACCGCTCCGCACCCTATTAGTTTGTCCGGTCGCCCAGCCCGACCCCTGCCGGGCTAGCCGGGCCGGGCAGCCGCCTGGAGTCGCATGCGGTGCGGCGCTGCGGGCTGTCTGTGAGCGAAAGCGCAGGGGTGGCTGCCTCCAACGCGAACCAAACGACGCTGGAGTGGCGGGCGGTGCACCAGTGAAGGGAGGAGAACAAGAGCGGCGAGTGGCTGCTGGAAACCGAACGCGTGACCCCACCAATGGACTGCTCTTCGAACGAGGAATCCATTGGTGGGGTCACACGTCCGCTTCGAGTCCTGTTTAGCGACTCTGGAGCTCAAAACGCGTCTCGGGTTTTGTGGTCGCCTGCGCCGGTCCTCTGGTCGAGGCTCTGCAGGACTGTCTGTGCAGTGTGCTTGCACAATCCCCTCATCAGACTGTGACTCTGGTCGCGCCTCGGCCCCGCTGGGCCCGCTGACGCGGCGAGCTGGCCAGCAGACCGATTCCGAGAGTCGCTTTCGTCGCTCTGTCTCTCGCACACCTCCTGTGAGTGCGACGGAGACAGAGCGAACGGAAACGCCTCTGGGAGTCAGTCTGCAGGGACTGCAAGCGGCGCGGCGCTTCTTTTAGCCTGACGGCGTTGACGCTTTCGGGGGCCATGGCGTGGAACCGGAACGGGCCGGGCGGAAAATGCGCGCCGCTGCGATTCGCCGCCGGCACACTGGTCCCGGCCGGGTGCTCTCTCTCGCACTCATGGGGCGTCCCTACGGGCCGCGGGGGTGCGAGGGAGACGGAGCGACGGAGCCTGCTAGCAGTAACCAGGGTGTGGCCATGGGTGGGCACGCCGGCCGGCGGCAGGGTGAGTAGTATAACTGGTACTGGGTAACGGTTGCCTACCTCCAAGGGGTTGCCTGGCTAACACTGGGGTCGCGGAGTTTGCTCAGACACATGGTGGTTGACTACCCACAAATGGCCCAGAGTTCGTCTGACAGTGGGTTGTGGATTTCACTCGTATCTGAGGTGGTTGCCTACCTTGCTGGGGCAGCCTATTTGCCTGAGGTCCACCTGACACTGGGTAGCGGACTAAATTATGGCGTTCGTTATCTTTCTTTCCAAGGTCACTTTAGGTTTTTCAAAGTATGGATTTCATCCGTTTAATGTCAATCTCAAGAAAAACGGGTTACGAAATCTTGCATCACTCAGTCGTTTGCACTCATTGCGCAACCTGTATTTGTAGGTTTTTATCTTAGAAAGGGATGTTAAAGACAAGGTTTTGCTTACAGTATTGGACGTTATTTTATTTCGATGAATGACAAGGGTGACATTGTTCGATGACATTTTTTTTCGAGTATCTAGAAAAGAACTCTTAGTACGTACTTAATCAACTGTCTACACACACCACAGTTTTTCTGGGTTGACAAACACTGTGTACAAGCAGTCATATGACAACATGGTAATGCCACAAGGTCAATTGGACGTTCGAAACAAATTTTGCAAACAGGTCGACTCGTTTGTTTTGGTTTTAGAGAATCGGACTGTCCATGTGGCTTGATTATGTTCTTAAAATGTTCAGGTACCTCATTTACTGAGTGTAACTGGTTTTGAACGTGGCGTATGTAATTCGGTCCAACCAACCGTGAGAGGAATCCACAATACGGTGAGTACGTGGCGTGTTCAAACGCAACAACGTCGCCCTCTTTCCACTGTGCCAATACGGTCCCACAATGGAAACATATCACGACGTCTCGGTGACCAGTGCAGAAAAAGCCATTTTCCGCCAGGGCTGTTGACGTCACATGACTGTCAGCAGGCCAACTGCTCTGTGTAAAGGTGGCAAGTCTGTTTACGAGAGAACTGTATTCTGGAAAGTCTGGTGTTATGAAAGGCAAAATGTTCAAATAATTTGCAAAAGGATCGTACTCTCCATTAGGTTGTAAGGTGACTTGTTCATACGTGGTGTTGATTAAATCATGTACATCCTGTGCCTGCTGCTGAATACCTTCCACCGCTGCTACCAATTGTTCAAGTGTCCTATGTACAAGGTTATCAGTTTGGTAACGTGGTCGAGCCCCAATGCCAATGTTCGCTGCATCAGGAAAATGTGGTGGGTTTACTTGATCAGTACTCATGTCACCCTGTGTCTCTGTTGGCTGCTGTGTCTGAGGCGAGTGTCCGACCTGTGGCTTCACTGTTTGCATGTTGGCTTCTCTAGTGTCTGTGTCACTCCTGTCCTGGGTCTCTGGCTTGGCTGTGTTTTCTGGGTTGTCGTGTGTGTGTGCCCCTCGTCCCGTGCCTCGTCTTTAAGTAGGCAGAGTCCGGCCTCGGCGGCTCAGCTACTCGGCGGCAGCTTCCCGCTCCGTCCCCCGCAACCTCTCTCCGCTCCTGCGAGAGGTATTCCCCCTCCCGCTTCGCCTGGCGGTGACGAGGCAGAGTGTGGTGACGTATTCCCCGCCGGCCTCGGCGGCTCAGCTACTCGGCGGCAGCTTGCCGCTCCGTCCCCCGCAACCTCTCTCCGCTAGGACCTGCGAGAGGTATTCCCCCTCCCGCTTCGCCTGGCAGTGACGAGGCAGAGTGTGGTGACGTGTTCCCCGTTGGCCCCGGCCGTGCTCTCGAACATGTCCGAACTTGCACTCGGCTGCCCGTTATTCCCCTCCTCGGCATCGTCACTGCTTGGGTGCTTACAACATATGTCACAACAACTTATGATGAAAGCCATCGGTGCAAATACTAAGAATAGAAACATGTCACGCTGTCAAGAGTTGAGTCGTTGAACATCAGTCATGTATTTTCCATGTGGTGTGGAGTTGGACGCCCTTATTTCTTGCTTTTAAAGTCTGACATGCGCTTCTGAACGTCGGTCTTGTGCGAGCGCTCAGCTTCGCGCACACTAAATTCAGTGCGCACTAGCTTTTCCACCCGACAGTCCTTTCCACCGGTGCAACTCGAGGAGCAGTGCTTGGACTCCTCCTTGATCGCTTTCGCCATGTCCTTGTGTGAAGAGAACATCTTGCCCAATGATGCCGTCTTGGTTTTGCGATCTCGTTTTATAAGCCAAGGGCGTACGTTTGTCGCTGTCTTCGTTGACATTGGTTTGATCATGTTCAAACCTGCACGCGTCCGCCGCCGCCGCGCCCCGCCGCGCCCCGCCGCGCCCGCGCGCCCGCCGCGCCCCGCGCCGCCCCGCTCCGCCCCGCCCGGCCCCGCGCCGCCCCGCGCCCCGGCCCGCGCCGCCCCGCACCCGCCGCTCCGCCCCGCCCGGCCCCGCGCCGCCCCGCGCCCCGGCCCGCGCCGCCCCGCACCCCGCCGCACCCCGCCGCGCCGCCCCGCGCCGCCGCGCGCCGCTGAAGAAAGCCCCTTCCATTGAAAAAATTCAAGTGACACATCGAGTGAACTCCGCCTCTAAAAAAAAACTGTTTGGGAGGAAGAATATGAGGTTCACTGTTAAAAAATTCGGATTGAAATTTCATAACATGTTAATGTAATTATTATCACTTTTCTGTTATGAAATTTCATGGCGATTTTCTGCAATGAAATAAATTTCATTGCAGAAAATCACCATGAAATTTCATAGCAAAGTGTTGTGAAACTTCATTAAATTGTTCATGAAAATTCATATGTAAGTTTTGACATTTTATTTCCAATTGTGGTATTGTATTTCTTAAATGGGTGATGTAATCTCGACCGGTATCTTGACTCTTAGTTCAATACCAGTTCTAAAAATTGCAAGCGGGCTATGTCGACCTTAGACACAGAGCTTAACCCGGAGTGTAACTCAGTGAGATGAGTTGGTGGCAAGTTGTACCACAATCACGAGGAGGCTCTCGCTGGACCTAACCCAATGGCCGACTGTAGGCGCCAGCGAGTCGCAACATGGTTCTGCGTTTTTCTCGACTTCAGAGTAATATTTTGTTTAACACTTTTAGCATACGTCTAGAGTAGATATTCACTTAGGTAACCAAGGATAAACTTTTGAAAAAGTATTGATTTTACTTAAATGAATAGGCAAAACTTACAAGTGAACGAACACGGCACTCCGGGCGCCACCTAGCGGCAGCTTCTTGAAACCTGACTTTGAGCCCAGGTGGCTGACAGGCCGCACCATGTGAGGATTGACCACAGTTTGCGTTAAATGATACTAAAATTCTTTTTTGGTGCGACGTTTGATTTACTATACTCATATTATCACGCTACATTTACTCAGGGAAGAGCATAGGAATATTCCGAATCACGATTAGCTTCAAACTCAGTCAAACCTGAAGTTCCTTCCACCCGGGCAATGTGCACTGTTAAAAAATGGTTGTACAGAAATAATCAGATGAGTGAAAATTTAGTCGTTCCTAAACATAGAATTTCATCATGAACCAAAGCGAAACAAATGTCGTTGAGTCTAGTAAGCGACATTTTGTCGTTAAAGGACAAAATTCTTGTTATCACTCTTTACGATACAATTTATGCGGAAACAACATCTTTTGCAATTATCTGCTCAATTAAAGCAAATTATGAATAATCATCTATTTTTTCTTCTAAGTCATAGGGAAATTACTAATGTTTAAAAAACCATGCTAAATAAATTTAGCGACAAAATTACTCTATGAATATTGTCGCAGACATTACAAAATACCTTTTGGACTTTCAATACTTGTCGTTGATGTGTTATTGTTGGTGCGTTATTACAATTTAGTCGTTGTGAAATTATCCCTTAGTTCCAATACGCCTACGGTTTAACAAGCTATTTGTTCCACAACAAATCTTGTCGCTAAAAAAGTTAGCAATAAATGTGTCGCTAAGTTACGACAAAATTTTTATCAGTGTAAGAGCCATCAAAACCTGCCCATCACAAGTCAAAGACCGACATGAAATTTTATATCTTGGTTATAAATTTTCAGAACCACACTAAATTTGTAGTTTCACGTTTTGACTTTTCATCAAATTTCTTGACGTTTCATTGCAGACTTGATTTTTCAAGGAGATATTATAACGTTTCATGGAATGTGTTCTGACATTTCATTATATTTATGAAATTTTATGGCCGCTATGAAATTTAATTGCGTTCATGAATTTTCAATGCATATTTGTAATGAAAATTCATAACATTTTTAACAGTGTTCTTGTCAATGGACAGATTTACTAGGCAGCCCGGTAAGAAATTGATCCACCCAACCCAATAAAACTTTATATAAATTCAATGAAAACCAAACACGTCCATCATTTCTCGCGCACAAACTCGACAAGCAACATGGACTTACGCTTCTCTCACCCATCCAATGTTTTAGTTTGTGCCCCTAGTGGTGGGGGAAAGACATTCTTGGTGAAAAGGGTTGTTGAGAATCGAGAGCTCATGTTCAACACCTCGTTTGAAAAAGTCTTGTGGTATTATAGTGAGTACCAAACTGTTTATGACAGGCTAGCTCAGGAGCACGGCGTTGAATTCATTGAGGGAGCTCCATCGATGGACCATTTCCCAACAGGAGATAAACCAAAATTGGTCATCGTTGATGATTTTTTGGACCAAGTAAAAAATCCGGAATTCTTAAAAATTGCTATAAAAGGGTCTCATCATCGAAATTTAAGTTTTTGGTTTCTGACTCAAGCGTTGTTTCCCCCGAACTTCAGACAAATAAGTTTGCAAGCGCATTACGTGATTTTGTTAAAATCTCCACGAGATATTCAACAAGTCAGAACTCTAGTCCTTCAGGTGGATCCAACTCATTGGAGAGGCATGTTAGAAGCCTATTTAGACGCAACACAAGAAGGACACTCCTACATTTTATTTGATTTTCATGTGAGGCAGAAAGATCACCTTCGTTTAAGAACTCAAATTTTTCCCGGCGAGAACACTGTTGTTTACATACCCAATGGGAAGTATAAAAAGTCACTCGTTTTTCAAAAGTAGCCATTGATTGACCATGAACCAAACAGGCCACAACACTTGGTCAGCGAGTAGAAGAGAAGAACACAAAGACTTACTCCGTGTGCTCCAGCGTGCAAAGCCTTCAGTTCGAAAAGCCATTTTAAAGGAAGCCGACAAGGCCCTTGTGTACTCGATTTGTGAACTTTGTGACAATACTTTGTCAGGAAACGTTCCGCTAACACCTTTACAAAAACAACGACTACGGAAGCATAAGACAGTCCTGAAAAAGCTAGCCAAACGCGGAGAGTCGTGGATCAAGAAGAAAAAGGCCCTAACTCAACAAGGTGGTGCATTCTTACCGTTGCTTTTGAGCGTTCTAGCCCCAGCTCTTGGAAACCTCATTTTTGGCTCATAGAACACCATGGAGCACTGCAAAAAATTAGTTCTCATTCCTCATGAAGCCATGACAAAACTACACGAAAAAAATCCAGTGGAGCGCACCGCCGAAGTGATCATGAATGACCTAGACAGAGAAATGCAACACATTCTTAAGCAAAAGGCGGAAGACAGTGAAAAATGGAAGTTATACGAGCAAGCTCTTCAAAAGTATTTGTATTTTGTCAATGAGAGAAAAAAACCAATAGAATTACACGTACCAGACTTCGGTCACCCTAAACTCGAAGTTACATTAAAACAAAAATTGTTATCTATAACACCAAGTAAATTTCAAGATTCAGCAGCATATTTGTTTGACCATTTATCAACTCAAGAGGCCAAAAAACTTATAAGCTGGGACGAAAATGGCAGAACTTCAGTTGGAAATCAGACGTTGCCGAGCATCGTAGATTTAATTTCAGACGCTGTACGCACTCGAGACTCGCCCAAAATAAATCAGTGGGAAACGTTTGCAAACGTACTGAAAACACTTGGCACACCACTCGAAATTATTGGAAACAAAAAATATAAAGAAGCATTACAGTCTCAAGGTGGATCAGGCCTTTCTCTGCACAATGCCAACTACTCTGAAATGCAGACGCTCAAAACAAAACACAACGCAATCCAAAACAAGAAATCAAAACGGATCAAACTTACAAACTGGAAACGATGGACTTGATGACATTTTTAAAAACACACGTCACCCAGCAGGATTTAGCACAGTGGAACGCCTCAAATCTGCAACTCATGCTAAGGTAAAAAGAAAACAAGTGGAAGCATACCTACAGGGACAAGACACATACACTCTACATAAGCGGGCGAGGCGAAGGTTCCCCCGAAATGTGACGTATGCTGACAATATTGATGACTGCTGGCAGGCAGACTTGGCAGATTTTTCAGCCATAAAAGATGACAATCAAGAAAACAAATTTGTCCTTTGTGTTGTTGATGTATTTTCTCGATTTGCCTGGACCGTTCCTGTATTAAACAGACAAGCGTTGACTATCAAACAGGCTTTTGAAACGATTTTTCAAAATACAACCAGAAGGCCCACCCGATTGATCACAGACAAAGGAGGGGAACTGAAAAACAAGACACTCAAATTATTTTTACAACAAAACGGAATAAACTATGCACACACAAACAATCCGGACACGAAATGTTCCGTTGTGGAACGTTTTATTGGAACGCTGAGACTGTGGATGCAAAAAGTGTTTACTCAAAGAGAGAATTACGAATACACGGATGGAGTTTTAGATGATGTAACACATGCATACAATAACAAAAAGCATACAACTTTAAAAATGACTCCAGCACAAGCAAGTGACCCAACACGGGTGCTAGAAGTGTATCAAAATCTTTACGGAAAAAAGTTAAACGGTTATAAAGTTCTTCCAAAACTAAAAGTGGGGGACTATGTAAGAATATCGAGGGAGAAAAAGCGTTTTGAGAAAGGTAGTACATGGAATTGGTCGGAAGAAATATTTAAAATTACAAAAGTCATCCCACACGTTCAGCCCATTTATCGAATAGCTGATATCGATAAAAATGAAGAATTGGAAGGATCATTTTACTCCTGGGAACTGAGTCTTGTGAAAAAACCACTGATGTTTAAAATTGCATATATAATCAAAAGCCGAGGGAAAGGCCCCAGAAAAGAAGTGTTCGTCCACTGGAGAGGTTACCCTGAGTCATCACGCTCTTGGATTCTGGAAAAAGATCTTAAAACTACATAATGGATTTTTACATGGTGCTCCCAAGTAACTCTAGTCCACACATTTATCCCCTGAATAAAACTTCGAACTTCAAAATTCAACTCTCCGAACGAGTTGAGCTACGTGAAGACTGGGAAGTAGCCCTGTTGGAATTCAACTACCCCAATACCATTGAACAAGTTTCAGAGGGTGAAAATGCGATAAAAATTTATTTTGCAAACGGAGAACTAAAATCATATTTCATCAGACCAGGACACTACATCACAAAAGAGGACCTATTGTTTGCATTACATGAAACGCTAGCCCCCATAGAAGAACTGCCAGATGGACACGGAAGATCAAGCGTGGTAGAACTGACAAAAAACGGCTACATTTTGTTCCATCCTTTTAAAAATACACCTGATGCCAAGTATTCGTTTTCACCGCTCCTTGCCAATCAACTTGGTTTGCTTCACTCTGGACCGTATTTGACGAACGAAGAACTTTTAGGAACTTACCCCGTTGACACGAGTTTGGGAGTGGCACCACAGCTGTATGTTTATTTGGACATCATCGAGGATCAAATTGTTGGACACACACGAGCTCCCCTGCTCAGAACAGTTCCAGTCGAAACGCGAAGAACTTACGGGGGCATGACCAGTTATCGGTGCGACCCACCCATCTATTTTAAGCTGAAAACAAAATCATTTGACACTTTAGAAATAAATATAAGAACACACACTGGTAAATTCACACCATTTGATCACGGAACTTCAACACTCCTGTGTCACTTCAGACAGATTGCCTAACTTTTACCATGTCACACATCACAGAATACTATGTCAGACAGGCCCAAACTGGGTCAGGCATGGGATATTTTGCTGGGGCATCCACACAAAAGGGTGCAGGAATCGGAAGTCTGCTGGGGGGACTCTTTCGCACCATATTTCCATTCTTGAAACAAGGAGCAAGTGCAGTGGGGCGCGAGGCTTTGCGAGCAGGAAGTCACATATTGGCCGACGCCGCGTCTGGGGAAGTACCCCTGAACACCAGTGTTCAACAACACTTTTCACAAGCAGGGCGAAACCTTGTAAGTAAGATGAGTGGAAGAGGTATAAAGCGGAGGATGGTCAGAGGAAAGTCTCAGTCTTCAAGCAAACCGGGCACAAGAAAGACGGATAAGAGATCAAAGTCAGACCCAACACACATTTTTTAGAATGGCATTTTTACACAGCGCCTCCTCCGAGGCACTTAGAACAGAACTTGATTTGTGGGCAATTCCACCGACACAGACGGTATTAGAGGGAGGACAGTGGACTCCCTTTAAGCCAATCACAAGCATTGATCAGTCAAACACCATCGAATTCTGTGTACCAGGAACAGGTCATGAGTACATTGATCCAGCACACACACTGCTTCTCGTCCGAGGAAAAATTGTTGATTCAGAAAATTTAGATTTTATTGAGGATGACAAAAATGAGGCCACACCCATCAATTATTTACTTCACTCGCTTTGGAGTCAGGTAGACGTTTCACTGAATCAAAAATTGATTTCAGTCTTCAATGACTTACCCATACCGAAGTTACATGGAGTCCCTTCTAGCGTACGATGCACCAGCAAAAAACTCACACATGTCCATGAGAATGTGGTACAAAGATACGGCAGGACACATGGATGAATTCAAACCTCAAAACAATCAGGGGCTCAAAATTCGTCATGAACTAACCAAAAACAGCAACATTTTTGAAATGATGGGGCCCATTCACAGTGACTTTTTCAATCAAGATCGATTTCTGTTAAATAACGTGGAGATGCGTATCAAGCTCACTCGCCAGCGCGATCCCTTCGTGCTCATGTCACAATTTCAAAACGAAAAACTGATCATTTTAGATGCAACACTTCTCGTACGAAAAGTTCGCATTTCACCCACAGTGCTTCTTGGACACGCAGCAGCATTAGAAAACTCTCCCGCAAAATATCCACTAACCAGAGTGGATTTGAAGACCATAACCATTCCAGCAGGACTTCAAGACAAAACCATTTCAAACTTGCACCTGGGTCAAATTCCAAAGAGACTCATTATTGGATTTGTCACCAACCAAGCCTTCAATGGGCACTACCAGAGCAATCCTTTCAATTTCCAACATTTTAATCTAAACTATTTAAGCTTGTATATTGACTCCCAACAAATCCCGGCTCAACCTCTTACACCAGACTTTGCACACAATTTACACATAGACGCATACAACACATTGTACAGTGGCACCGGCATACATTGGAAGGACGAGGGGAACGACATTACGTACGCAGAATATCCTCATGGGTATACTTTGTACGCGTTTGACATCTCCCAAGATTTATCGGCAAACGAAAGTCACTGGAACCTTCAACGCCAAGGCATTGTTCGATTGGAAGTCAAATTTGCTACACCACTAACAACAGCAGTAAATTGTATCGTTTTCTCGGAATTCAACAACCTCATCGAAATTGATAAGAATCGAAACGTGGTCGTCGATTACGGCGTTTGAATATGGACGGAAACACGTTGGAGGCAGTCATGCGAAAAGACCACCACGCCGCATCAAACTTTGCAGGAGTATTTGCGTCTGACACTTTGCCACGCACCGTACACAAACCGGCTCTCATTATTGTAAACACGGATCCGATCAGTAAACCAGGAGCACACTGGCAAGCGATTTACCTAGGATGCCATGGGCGAGGAGAACATTTTTGCTCCTATGGCTTAGGTCCATATGTACCCAAAATAAGACAGTTCATGGATCGGCAGTGCTCGCTCTGGACGAAAAACACTGTAGATTTACAAGCATTTGATTCAGCAGTATGTGGTCAATATTGTACGATGTATCTACTGTTTAAGGCACATGGTTTCTCCATGCGAGATTTTGTATCTTGTTTTACTACAGAATGTAATCAAAATGATGAATTTGTTAAAAATATGTTTCAACGATATGCCAAAAATGTAAAACTTTGTGACGATGTGCGTCTTAAGAAAGCACAAACATGTTGTAACAAAAGACAATGTAAAAATAAGAAATAAAGAAACAAAAAAACAATTTTGTTATTTGATTTGGATGCGGGGCGGCGCGGGCCGGCGCGCGGGCCGGGGCGCGGGCCGGGGTGCGGGGCGGCGCGGGGGCCGGGCGGGGCGGAGCGGGGCGGCGCGGGGCGCGGCGGGGCGCGGCGGCGGCGGACGCGTGCAGGTTTGAACATGATCAAACCAATGTCAACGAAGACAGCGACAAACGTACGCCCTTGGCTTATAAAACGAGATCGCAAAACCAAGACGGCATCATTGGGCAAGATGTTCTCTTCACACAAGGACATGGCGAAAGCGATCAAGGAGGAGTCCAAGCACTGCTCCTCGAGTTGCACCGGTGGAAAGGACTGTCGGGTGGAAAAGCTAGTGCGCACTGAATTTAGTGTGCGCGAAGCTGAGCGCTCGCACAAGACCGACGTTCAGAAGCGCATGTCAGACTTTAAAAGCAAGAAATAAGGGCGTCCAACTCCACACCACATGGAAAATGCAAACGAGACTGATGTTCAACTCTAGACAACGTGACATGTTTCTATTCTTAGTCTTTGCACTGATGGCCTTTATCATAAGTTGTTGTGACATATGTTGTAAGCACCCAAGCAGTGACGATGCCGAGGAGGGGAATAACGGGCAGCCGAGTGCAAGTTCGGACATGTTCGAGAGGGCGCGGCTCTCATGTGGCCGGGGCCCGCGGGGAATTCGTCACCACACTGTGCCTCGTCACCGCCAGGCGAATCGGGAGGGGGAATACCTCTCGCAGGTCCTAGCGGAGAGAGGTTGCGGGGGACGGAGCGGCAAGCTGCCGCCGAGTAGCTGAGCCGCCGAGGCCGGCGGGGAATACGTCACCACACTCTGCCTCGTCACCGCCAGGCGAAGCGGGAGGGGGAATACCTCTCGCGAGTCAGTCAGGCAGCCCCTTGGAGGTAGGCAACCGCTACCTTGTACCAGTTATACTACTAGTACAGCGCACAACACAGGGCAGGGCAACGCAAGTCGCTAGCGCACAGGGTCAAATCACATGGGTAGGGGAGATCGAGCAGGAGTGTTCGGTGCTCCCACGATGGACCAGCCGGTGGCAACTCCCCTTGCCCGGCTGAAACCAGGCTCGGAAGCGGAGCGGCTCCGTTTTCCAACTTTTAAACGAATAAAGCTAATAGAAGCTATTTGATTGCCACATAACGAGTACATCAGGGCAACGTAAAATTTCACGTAGATTACGATTCTGCAATTACATTTGCAAAAAGACGAAGGATTGCGGAAATAATCACGGATTATGTTCATATTGCGGCATCGGCTCGCTCGTATCAGCTCGTCTCATATTTGCCGAATGTTAATGTAAACAAACTAAAGCAGCTAGAGGAAAACGGTCACTTGCAATCGAAAGATCACACTTTTTCCCTTGGTATAGAGACCATTGCAAAGCTCGAACGCCGGCTAAAACAAGTATTTAAACAGAGAAACAAAACCTGTTCCGGAATGGAGGTTATGTCGGCTCAAATCATTCTCTGTTGTTTCTTTACAGAAATACTTGTTTTAGCGGGCGTTCGAGCTTTGCAATGGTCTCTATACCAAGGAAAACACTGGTAAAACAAAGGCATAAAAATTACGCCCTTTAGGGCATAAATGCTCTTTTACGCCCTTGCAAGGGCATAAATCGTTTTATGCCCTTGGGAAGGGCGTAAATGGTATGGGAATTTCAAGCAAAATTTTAATGCCCTTCCCAAAGGCATTAACGATTTATGCCCTTTAAAGGCGTAAATCGTTTACGCCCTTTAAGGGCATAATTTTTATGCCTTTGTTTCACCAGTGAAAATGTGATCTTTCGATTGCAAGTGACCGTATTCTTCTAGCTACTTTAGTTTGTTTACATTAACATTCGGCAAATATGAGACGAGCTGATACGAGCGAGCCGATGCCGCAATATGAACATAATCCGTGATTATTTCCGCAATCCTTCGTCTTTTTGCAAATGTAATTGCAGAATCGTAATCTACGTGAAATTTTACGTTGCCCTGATGTACTCGTTATGTGGCAATCAAATAGCTTCTATTAGCTTTATTCGTTTAAAAGTTGGAAAACGGAGCCGCTCCGCTTCCGAGCCTGGTTTCAGCCGGGCAAGGGGAGTTGCCACCGGCTGGATGGACGGACACACCGCCAGCGGACGCCTCCACTTTCCTCCACGGACACAGCACGGCGGCACTCGTCCTCGCCAAACACGCCGTCAAACCAGCGGCAGCTGGGGGCGCATACCTGAGACGTTGCGGACATCAGCGAACTGAGCGTCCGGTGCATGGGGGAGCCCACCGTCCACCCAGCACGATGACAACTACGGTGCGGGGGAATCATCCCCCGTGTGAAAAAATTTCATGAAACCTGTCGGAATTGGGCCTGAATGAGGTCTGAACGGTAAGACAGCGACTTCTTGGCTGGATGACTAAGGAAGAAAAACTGCAATTGGTGGTCAACGCGTCTCAAGGGCCCCAGGAAGTCTTCCGAGCAGTGGAGCGGTTCCTGCAGGCCTTGTGAGAAGTGACAAGTCAACTGCAGTCGTAAAAAAGCCGTACATTTCTACCCGGAAAGCTTCTCCCACCACAACGCACCGCCTGCACTTCGCCGGGTAGCGGTAGTGGCCAAACCATACGTCGCACGTCACTACGAATGAACATTTGCTCTAATTTTCACTAAAATAATATCCATTTTTCAACTTTAAACGGCTCTGGAGCCTAAACCAAAAATCGTAGACTGTTTCCGTGACCGCTATTTGAAAGAACAACCTTTTGTCTATCAAAATAAATGGGTTTAGATTTTTTGTGGCGCAAGGCAAAAGTTTAGTAGGCCTCTAAAACACTAAAAGCGGAGAAAAATACACTTTTATGAGTGTAAAATGGACCCAGTTCCGTTATCATTCGCTCAAAACGCATCCCGTAGGGTTCTTTATTAAATGTTGATAAAACATTTTTACGTGCGGGTATCAAGAGCCGCAAAAGTATTTTCCAGTCGGTTGACCCCCTTTTACCAAGATCCTGATCTGGCCATCTCGTAGAAGCGGCCGATATCGTCGGAACCAGGTCCATTGAATTTGTCATGTCACCCTGATTCTAAAAACACCCCTACATGCCGTGCTAGCACCAATTACGGCCGAAATCCTCCTCCCGCTAATGTCAGCCATGCCGTTTTGTGCCGTTTTTCAAGTGTTTTTTGGTGGCTTTAACCGCAGGGACTGAGACAGAAAGATCATTTCCGGCGTGAGGCGAGCCAATCTGATATACCCAATGACCCTGCAAATCCCAGCTGAATCGACCGAGCCGTTCAGGAGTGATGCGGACAGCCACACACTCACACAGACAAAACTTTCCAACCCCACCCTACTAACAACCTACGCTCTCTCTCAGCCAACAGTCATAAAGTCATGTTCGTTCAATTTCATTTCATAGAAGTACAACTAGGCAAACAGAAAAGTTGCTATGCGTAATTTATGCAATCCTTATGTCAATACTTTGCCAGTACTTACAGCGTAGCTAGGCCCAGCTCCGCGCGGTTCTCCTCCAACACTACGCTAGGCGACAGGCGCGGCCACGCCAGTCTGTTGCTAGGCCGTTGTCGCGCTTCTCGCCACAAGCTCACACAGCACAACGCCTAGCCAGGCTACGTCCCGGCCATTCCCGGCATTCGCTTGCCGCCGCCGCCACCGGAAGGAGTGCCTCTGCTCCGAATGCATTCCGACCCAGAGGCCGTCGCCGCCATGGCGGAGGTCGTGAAGACGACGACGGCCGTCGTGAAGCAGGACGTCCAGAGCGGCGCATTCCCCAAGGCGCTTGCCCGCTCGCCATGGTGAGGCAGCAAGCCAAGCGGGACATGCCGGCCATGGAGGCTGCCTTCAAGGCTGCGAGGCTCCAGCGGCTCCAGCTGCCGGAAGAAATGGCCGCGGACCTGGCCAACAAGTGGCGGCCCACTACACCGCCCCCACGTCGGAGTAACGGCAGCACGGCAGCACCAAACTGACGGCCAGGTTTAAAGCCGACGAAACGGCTTTTTACAAGGCCACCATTCCTCTCCCGAGAGAATGACTTTTCAAAGGCTATCAACCCTTGTCCCCTTTGCTCTCCGCGTCGGGACGCCCAGCCCAGCAAGGCTGCCTCATTCGTTTGCCGCCGTGCCCGTCGGAAAGATGTCCGGATTCGATGCCCTCGCCCTCGAAGCAGTTGCGCGAGCGTTGAAGAGCTCGTTGACAGGAGTCATCGAGGAGGCCCTGTCGAGCGGGACCCTCGGCGACGCGGCCACCAGCGAGGCCATCCGCACCGTGTTGACGGTCGGGGACGAGGTCCTCCCCTTCGCACAGTCTCTGCTGGAGGCTGTGCGGCGCGAGGCGGCGGAGAATGTCGCGAAGAAAATGGCCGCAGAAATGGTCGACGTGTGGGCGGCGCGCTACACCGCCGCCAAGCCGGAGTAACATCAGCACGGCAGCACCAACCT